TTATAAATAATCATTTACAAATTTATATAGATAAATGATGAAGGTAGGGAGCATATAAAAATCTGTCATTAATTATAGCTCATATTATTTCCTCACAGCGCATGTGCAGCTGGAAATCTGCATTATCAAATTTTATGTGGAGCCTTTGGGAATGATTAATTAGAGGTTTTGTTGATGACAACAAGGTTCGATAACTATGTTTACACACGGAAAAAATGATTTGCCTACAATTTTATTTCACATAGTATTTATGATTGTGATTAACTCTTTTTATTGAGTCATAATGTTATCGTAAGACTTCATTATAAAATAAAATTTGTCTCTAAATCAAACTCGATTTGCATTGAAACAAGTATAAAATAATAGTATTTGTGATACTCCAATCTTTTGCTTGCAAATGTTACTTATGGGTCATTTGGAGTTTTAGTTTACATAGAAAGTTGTTAAGTCAGTAAGGTTTTTAAGATTGGATTACTGTGACCGAAATGTCAAAAGACTATCAATGGAAAGAAGACCCTACAACTTTGTTTACTCACATCTAGAGGCAATTCATTTTCTCTTCTTCTTTAACTTCGCCATTTCTTTCGAAAAGTGTGGTGCTTAAGAAAAGCTACTAATGGATTAGGTGACAATAATTGAAGAAAGAAGGATCACCATTAAGATAAAAAATTAAAGAACCTTCTTCACAAACCATACCTTTTCTTTATAATCGTGCCTAAAGTCTAAGTTTTCAAAGCTTCAAACCTTGCAAAATAATTTACCAAAAAAGAAAAACCTTGCAAAAGTATAAAAACAAATTGCTCAAACAAGAAAGCATTTCTTCCTTTTACTTTGGTTCAGAATCAAACCAAAGAAGGAGGGCCCATTTTATCTTTATATACTAGCTAGTATAATAACAAAACAAAGCCTAATAATTGCATGAGAATAGTGCCAACCCCACCCTCATCAAGTTATCAGTCCTTGTGACCTTTCACTCCCTTTTTTTCAATTTGATTTTCACAGGTTCATGGGGCCTTTCATTGGTCCTTCCTTGCTCTGTTTTCATCCATTATTGTTCTTCTCTCTCCCCCCACCCCTTGATTTTCATTAAACAATGTTGGCTTCTTCCTTAGTTTGACCCTTCGCTAGAAAACTAGTAATTATGATTTTGCTACTTTTCACTGTGTTTTCTCTTGGTGGTAAAGAAAGGAGATTTCCTCCCCTTCAAATTCAAATTCAAACCAGCTATAAAAATCTAAAAAGATGGTTGTTTAGGCTTTCATTTGGAAGTGTTATATTGTGGTGAGATGTGGCTGTATATAATTATAAGTTTTTATTTTTTAGGTTATGTCCTCATTTTGGTCCCTCAACTATTGTATAGACTCCAGATTTGGTCTCCAAACTAAAAAAATTCCTGATTTGGTCCCTATTATTTACTATTTTAGCTTCAACTTAGTCCGTCCATTAAAAATCCACATGTGTCTCGTTACTTGACGGAAAAAGATGACATGTAAAAGTATTTTCACATGTAGGATTGACAATGTGATAAAAAATACTTGACATGTAATTTCTAATTAAAAATTAAAGGTTAAATTATAAAGTCAAAATTACGTTTTTACCCTCATCTTCTACCACACATCACTTTCTTTCCTTTCTCTTTTCATTACCCCTTACTTTTCATCTCCAACCTCTTTCATTGTTCATCTTCTTCTCCTTGTTTGCCGGCTTGGGTTTTAATAATCTCCTTTTCTCATCTCTTCATCATCTTTTTCCTCATCTCATCTCATCCATCTAATTAAACCTTCTCATCAATAATTCTTCATCCTCCAAGGCTTGCTAGGGATTCAGAACCCAGAGATCTGTTGGGTTCTCGAGGACCCAATGCTAGGTTCCATCAAACC